TGATCCTTTTGGCAAAATTAGGACAAAGCCATTAGGTTGACTTCAAGCACAGAACTAATGCCATGCTGACAGCAAAGACCTCCAGAAACACCTTGCAAAACTCAGAATGGACAAAAAGATGTCAAATTAGCTTCAATGCAGATATATGTAAGCTAATATATCTACTGAAAAATACTCTAAAGCAAGTAAGAAGAAGAAGAAGAAGAAATTTAGAGAAGAGATTTAGGAGTCATTATAGACAGACCCCTCGAAGAAACAGTTTTATCTTCAAAAGCAATCAAAAAAACCCAGCAAAATACTGGGCATCATGAGGAAAGGCACCAAGAACACGACAAAGCACATTTATACAACTGTTGTCTACCCATATCTCAAGTAGTGTCTGAAGTTCTGGTCTCTGCATCTCAAGAACAGATTCTAGTCAGAGAAGGGCAAACAAATCATCAGGAGGATGGAGTGCCTGCCTCAGAAAAAGAGACTAAGGATGCTCTTCAGTTGGAGAGAAGCCTGAAGCAAGATATGATCAATCAAATTATGAAGGTGGTAAATAAACTAATGTAGAACTTTTGCTTGCTTTGCCCTCCAGTATTAGATCTGAGGGGTATTCGACAAAGCTAGTACAACATTAGTTTATAAAAGATTAAAGTGCTTCTTTACAAAGCTAGTGGTAAGCTTCTGGAACTTACTACCACAGGAGGTTGTGAAGGCAATGAGCATCAGCAAGTTTGAAAAAGGCAAGTTCTTAGTTGGCAGTTCCACAAATGGGCTCTAAAAACACTGAGCCTTATATATACCTACCATCCCTAATGTGAAAACTAAGTATGCAGGAAGAATACATGGGAACAGATACATAAAGTGGCTAGGCTTACCTACAGCCTCTAAATAGCATCCCTTAATGTCACTGCTGGACACCAAACCCTGCGTATGAAGGCCACTGGTATGACCCAATAGAGTTTTTCTGATATTCTTAATTTCAGTTTTTCTCTGATGCCACAGGTTTTGAGTAATAGCAGACCTTCATTATAAACACTAAATTACAATATCGTATATTAAGCAATAAATTAGTACTATATCTTTAAACAAAAATAAGGGTCAGACCCAGGAGGAAATATTTGAATTACTCCAGCTAGTGCGACCCCCACAAAGCCACAGATGTTGTTCCACAGCAGGATCTGCTATTTCAGTGAAAATGTAGCCACCTGCTGAGGGACAAAAGCAACAAACATCAGCTCCTCAAACAGCAGAGCTGCAGAACAGCTTGAAGAGAAAGAAGGCTAGGCATACTAGTCATTCACATTTTTACCATACCACGTCTCAAAAGATGGCAAGAGTTAGTTTACTGGTACACAGAGGGAAGTCTTAAAAAATATGAATGCAGAAGTCAGTATCTGCAAGGTATTCTCTGCCCTTCTAGGATAGGTATTTATACATGAAATGGGCATATCATAACTGAAATGCTTTGAGCCTTCTGATAATACAGAACACCTTCTGCAAAAGAATAAGGTATGCTGGCAATGCTCCAAAGAAATTAATAATATAGCTCAACACAATTCTCGTGTGGTTTCAGCTGCATAGCATATTCTTACCCACTTCACTCTTAACCATTAGCTCCCTCTCCAGTATTTGGTAACTTCTTGTTAGTCAGAAAGAAAGAATGTATACTTATTTATTTCATGAATGTATGCTGTGATACATTATATGTTAAATTACACATTTCAGTTCTAAAGGGAATAACAAAGTACAGTAACTATTGCAGATATCTAGATTACTTCCATTTGTTTGAGAGGTTAAATTGAGAGCTACAAAATCAGAATGCAAGAAGGTTTTAACAGTGTCCGGGCCCCACTAAACCTGCAAAATACTGAGCATTTTACATTTTAGGTAATGATACAAGAAGAGGGGTGTGCTCAAAAATGAGATTTATAATTCATTATCACACCTTGATTTATCTCTGTATTAATACTAGCCTACAAGCCACGCCAGGGCTCAGAGAGATTCCTGCACATCCTTTCTTTCAGCCACCAACACACCTGCAGTCTGCACAGCTCTGCCAAAATTTATGCCTGTCTGCCTATCAGTCAAAGAACAACTTGCCCACCTTCATTCACCTCTCTCCCTCTGTTACTCTGTTGAAGGGCTATGTCCTCAGCATCAGGAGCTGAACTCCCATGTCTTGTTCAAGACCATCTTTTGTTAACTTCCTTGGATAGCATTCACAAGAGACACAAGAGCTGAAGAACAGCTATCTTGGTCATTCACATATGCCTATGGCAGTGTTAGGCAGCAGCAGATAGGAGACATTTGAAGTCTGTGAGTAAGTAAAAAAGGGAACCCTTGGATGTGGAGGCATTTTATACTTGTTTTTCTGGAATTCTGCAAAGCTTCCATACATCAGCGTTTACAGTCACTGTGTTTGTTGGAGACCATGCTAACAGCTACGAGTCAGTATTTTAACTGCAGTTCAAAAACAGCAATAGCTTTTTCAAAAAGATCAGTGTACCATTTTCATGATCTAATATGACTAGGAGATACATCATTCATTCGTTTATCTTTTCTGTGATCTCTGCAACTCTTCAGGGGTTCAACTAAACGTACACACATACTTATATATAAAAAAGCACGCTACTTGTTTCCCCTAGTGTATCAAAAGAAATCATTTTCCTACTACTCATGGCAAATTACACCAATAATATTTTAGTATCTATCTCTATCTAAGCAACTATATAGGCAGCAGGTTGAAGAATGTGACAGGACTGTTTCAGTTCCCAGTTTCTTATTGTATTGCATATAGCAGTACTTCCCTGTTATATATATACTACTATAAAAGCACCTTAGGAAAATCAAAGAATTTTTATTTTAATGAGCGTCCTTTTAGTTGGGAGGCGTACAGATGGACTCATTTTCTTCTATATAGAAGAAAGCTATGAAAAGCAAGCTAACCACATCTGAAATTTCTGCATTCTCCTCTAGCTTTAACTAGAGTATGAATATTTTTGATGACAATAATTATGAATATTAGTAAGTTTATAGGTGATTAATATTTTAACAAGTAAATAGTTAATAGATATATATTCACTTTATTGGTGGGACAATCCCTGCTCCAAAAAAGTTGATTACTAATTAACAAAGAGAAATCAACACTGAGTTGAGCACCCTTCTGAGGACATACAATTGAAATATTTTGATTTTTTAGAAAATGTTTACGAATTCTGGAGAAAAACAAAAAGTTAAGACAAAGAGGGGCTATGTAGCAAATACAGTGGCACACATTCTCTTGTATGCAGGTCCTCCTGAAGAACAGTCCCACTGAAATGAGTATCACAAATAAAGACTACTCATGTCCTGAAGGTTCTACAGTTTTCCCACTCAAAAATGAGATTTTCAGATTAAAATGTGGTGTCACTCACAAGAAGGGAGGGGGGGGAAGGCTTGGTGTTTTCAGCCTGCAATCTTGGCAAAAATTCTACTGGCCTTTGCTATAAAACCACCACACACACACACAAAAAAAGTTTTCTAAGATGGCACACAAGGAAAACACAAGTGGAGTATAAGGCAGACTGGCACAACTGAGCACATCTCAGACATTGCATCATGGCTATCAGCAATGTACTTGGATCAGGACTGCTCCCTAAATTAACCTAAAATACTCTGAAGACATTGATTCCAGTCAACTAAATGAGGTTTCTGAAAAAGTGGTTAGCCAATACTACATTTGCTGGATCTATCCAGATCTATCCAGAATCTGGATCTATCCAGGTTGTGTATGAGAAACTGAAATTTCATTAGGAATTTACATTCTGTCAAGAAGCAACAATATTAACCTGTACCAGTCATAAATTCCATACCTCCAATCTTTCACACTTACTAGTGCCTCCCCCTCGGCTGGAAAACTGGGCTTCAGCTCTTCAAAGCACAGTGTGTATTTGTAACAAAGGTGCTCGCACTGGTCATTCATCCTTGCCTAATGTTTACATTAACGCTTATAAAGAGCATGTAAAAGCTCTTTATTTTTTCTAAATGAACAAGATTTGACAACACTTCAGAGCCTTCCAATATTCTCTTCTATCACTGAAAGTACAGCAGGTTGAAGAACAATGAAAAAGTGCACAGGGATAAGTCAACTTTGGAATTCCTCCGTCTCAACAGCCAGTGGTCACGTATCAACCGTCACCGTTACGCTTACTTTAGCTTAACTTTTCTTTGAACTGTTCTAACAACTTCAGGTTACGGTCTGCGGCCACAAGACCGCCACTATCTTCATCATCTCCGCTGCGTGTGAATCGCCCAGCTCAGCGCCCGGGACCGCGGCCGGCAGAAGACCCCTCCGCGAGGGGAAGGCGACCGCCGCTCACCCCAGTGTCGACGGCGGCACCGCCACCAGGCCGCTCCCCGCGCAGAGCGGCAGCCGCTGGGGCCGTCCCGCCTGCTGCCCCCTCCTCAGCTGCCGCTGCGGAAGGCGGGACCGCAGCACCCCGCCGGATGGGTGCGGGGACGCGGCGCCGTCTGCCTTTCACAGCGACCACCCGCACCTCCCCGGCAGCCCCGCACCAGCGGCACCATGCGGTGCGCCCCCACCCCGCTCTCCGAGCAGCCCTCTCGAGGTGACGGAGGAGCGAAAGGGGCAGTACCGCGGCCACTCCAGCAGACCCGAGTGAAGGGCTAGTGTCGCCCCCCGCCGTGACACCCGCGGGCACCGCCGGCCGCCGCCAACCGGTCGGCGGCACCGAAGTTCCCACCGCGGCGCCAGTCCCGCCCGGAGACCGGGACAAGGAACGGCTGGGACCGCCGCGCCGAAAAGCATGGCAAGGGGTGGCGGGCGACCGCACCCGCCCGCGACCCCAGCCCGCCGCGGCCCACTGCCGCCACCCGCCCTGGGCATCCTGCCCGCCCGCTTCTCCGCCTGCGCCGGTACCGCCGCCCGCAGCTTTGCCAGCCCCATCAGCCCGAGGTGTAACGGCAGCGCATGGAGGCAAGCATCCTTCCTCCCCGCGGACGGACCTTACCGGCCACGCTCGCCGCCCTCGCCCACCTGGGCGCACGCCGCTCCGTGCTGGGCTCCCGCTGCCATACGCCGCCCTGCAGCCGGCATCACTGCTCCGCCTGCAGCCGCACCAGCCGCCGCGGCGCCCAGCAGCAGCACCCGCCCCTCGAGTGCGCAGCCCGAGCACCGGCAGGGTTCGCCCTCTCCGACTGACAAAGACTAGTAGCCAATCACCGCCCGCTCAGCAGCGAGGAGGCGGGAAGGTGTAACGAGAAGAGACCAATGGGAGCTCGCCCCTGCTGCCGCGCTGTTTCCGGGAGGGGGCGCCGCTCTAGGCAGGGGATCGCCGAGGGTGAGAGGTGTCGAAGGCAGCCCGCAGGGACGGCGGTGGAGCTGTGCGGGTCGCTGTGCCGAGCAGACTCGGGTCCGAGAAGGGGCTGGGGCAGAGGCAGAGGCAGAGGCAGGGGCAGGGGCAGAGCCTCGGCCTCTCCGGGACTCGCTGCAAGCCCCGGAGCTGGGTGCTGGCAGTGGTAACGCTTGTGGCTGAGCCGGTCTCGCACTGCCCCTGTTGCTCCGCTAAACGGGAGCGGGGCTGAGGGCCGGCTGTTCAGGTGGGAAACGTGCATCGCCTTTCCCCCGCGTGCGCAGGAGCGTCAAACTTCACACTGAGGCGCTTTGTTTAAAGGAGAAACGAAAGGAGGGGGAGAGGCGGTTCTTTTCCGTCCGGATCCCGCCTCGCTGAAGCCGTGTCCGCCGGCAGCATCTCTGCGGCTGGGGCTCTCGCCGACCTTGGCGTAGCCGCGGCAGGCGGGGATCGCGTTCCGGCCGGCTGCCGCGGTGCGGGATGGGTGTGAGTGTGCCGCGCTGGAGCCGCGCGTATCCCCCTCCGCGGTGGCGGTGCAATGTGACGGCTGCACCGACTTCGCAAGGCCTCGGGACTGCGGCTTGGCCCGCTGGCTGTGCCCGGCCTGCCCGCACCCATGGTCCCCTTGGCTGATCTGTAGCAGCAATTCCACCGGTGGACCAGGAGTCTATGGCTAATTTGTGTTCAAGGGTTATACCGATAGGTTTGCATCACTGTTACTCTTTGTAGAATGAGGTCCTTTGCACCCCAGCCACAGTTATGTAGTGTAGAGGTATGCAGGCCTGGTGAACTAGCAGAGGATCTAGAAGAGTGAAGACCTAGCATGCACCATAAAGGAGTATTGACAAGGGGCGCAGTCTTGGTACTGGAGACCCAATGGCTATGTCTTACTCATGGTCAGTTCAAAAAATTCAGGCCTGGAGATGGACAAAACTGGGTTTAGGGACAACAAAGAATTGGTATCTGACATATCTGAAAGGTAACATATGTAGTAAGTTCAGCTGTAGAACTGGAACTGCAGACCAGTGAAGAAGCATACTAGCAAAGATTAAAAATGACCTCAAGTGGATCCTAAAGGAGGAAGAACAAATCATAAACACGAGCATCATACTTCTCCTGGGCAGGGACTCCAAATGCTCATAAGTCACTGTTGCCACCCCCTCATTCTCCTAACCTAGAGTGAAACTGATCAGGCAAGGGATGGAGAGGAGCAGTTGTAGGGTGGATGTAACATCAGGAGAGGGGTACAACAACTGCATTATCATCACTCTTTTTCTGTAACTAATAGACTCTTAAGATTTCAGTTAGTAACAATAAATGTCTCTACCCTGTTTTCAGTCTCATTCTCTAACAACCCAGGCGAATAATAGTTGGGTCTTTCCAGTGTTGGTGGTCTTCACTGTTTTGGCATTTGCTTTTTAAGGAAAAAATGCCAGTTTTGTACCAGTTTTGTAGTTACCCAGTTTTGTAGTGTATCAACTGATTCAGAAGGGTGGTGAGTTGTCTTTAATTCCTGATGACTTACGCTCATATTTCATGCGATTTTAGGAATGTGTCTAAAGTGAAACGACCTCTCAATCTGGTCATAAGCAAATGTTTGTTAGGTCTTAATGAAGGAATTTATTGTTAATACTAATATTGGAAACTATGGGCAGAAATAGTTGTTCAGTTTATACCAGGTGCAGGTACCCTCATCTGTGCTGAGTTTAGAACTGCTACTTCTGATAAACAACCTGAAAGTCATGTTCTTTCCGTTCACAGCAACCTTTTGATGCAAATGTTATTCTGGTGAGACTGATCCACTACAGCAGTAGATTTCTTTTTCCTCCCATTCTTCAGCTGTTCACCTTTTTTTTTTTTGGATGGCAACGATGATACATTTGTGTTTACTGTGTCCAGTGTGAACATTGAATACACCTGCTTTTGTTTGGAAGAAAATAACAAGAAATGCTTTAAATGCTTATGGGTTTAGACACTGCAGTAGCTTGGTCTGAAATGTCTTCTAGCAAATTGGTTTTATTAGTTCAGGAGCCACCTCAAGCCTTGAGAAAGTACAGTGTTAATAGTATTTTGTACTTACTAAAAAGCATGAGATATTTTACTCTGTTAAAGCAGGAGGTATTTGTTGGTTTGGGGTTTTTAAAATATTTTTTTTAACATTTAATGCCAGCCATATCTTTGGGGGAAAAAAAAAACCAACAAAAAACAATAACAACCAACAAACATACTTTATTTACAGTTGGCAATTTTGCAAGTGTTTCAGAACTAAAGCATTGCACAGTTATAACTCTTACAGAGAAGGAGGAAATATGAAAAATAATCCTTGCAAGTGAAGCTCTTCTAGAAGCATTATTTTTAATATTTTAAACTTTATATAAAAATGTAAACAGAAATTCAGATAATTCAGATATCCTGTCTGAACATTAATTTCATGTTAAAAGAGTAGCCTTTAAGTTTCAGCGGCAGCTTTTCACTAGCATGCACGCAGCTCAGCGTGTAAGGTGACTAAATCATTACTTGACAGAATAAACCTGCAGTTTAGCTACCAAAAAAAGTGAAGTAATATATCTTCACACAATTAAAGGTCTAAAGAGCTCTAAACAGCAATTGTTCCAAATAGAAAAGCAATCCTTCACATAACAGCTAAATATCCTGTTTATGAGACAGAACGTCTCAGAGGAAGACTTGTTATAGGCATAGAAGCACCAAATAACTATAAATGAAAAGCATGCAGGAAGGAGAAAGCAGCACACCTGAAATATGGTGCTGTTCATTAAAGTGCTTTATGGTACATGTAACATTTTCTGAATTTTAGCAGATCTCTTGGTACCTTGGGAAACAGTTGTGTGTTGGGTTTTTTGTCCCAATAAAATAGCATAGATTGGTTTAGCCCGCAAAACTGTAATTTAGCCTTTGGTCCCATAAGGCAGAAGAGTTTGACAGTTCTTTCTGAAAAACTATACAGTGTAACAGTACTCTTGAAAAGTACCAGTGGCACAGGAGCTGAACTACTCTTACTCATAGCAGAAACAGTGTAAGAAATATAATCCACATTCAGCTCTGTCAGCAGGAGGAGCAGATTTCTAGAGGTGACATAAATCAGGATTCACACATACTAAATCGTTGTTTTAGCTGTTAAGTCTGCCTACAAGGTGCCAACTGTGGTCTGGTATTGGAGACCTTGACAGACAGAAGGGACTATGCTGAAATTCAACTACAAAAAAAGAAATAGAGCTGCTGTATCTCCTTTGGTCTCTAACATCCGTTTTTAGGAGAGGGTCTGCTTTTTACTAATACTGCATATGCTTTGAAAAATTACTCCATTTCCATCCAGAAAGTCTTTGTGGCCCCAGGTGGCTCCCCTATTAAAGAAAGCGGTTTAGGCTCCCAGTTAAGTTTTCATGTGTTCTGTCCATGATTTCCTGTAGGCATTTTACTTTTTCATCTCTCTTCTGCTATTGTTTTATACATAAGAAATTATTTGTTTTGGAGAGAATCACCTCATGGGGAGTTAATGTTTTGCTAATGTAGGTAGCAGTATGTGGAGTCTTAGTATTATGTTTTGATATTAACTGTGCATCCAGCTGGAGACTCATTATACTAAACATCAAATCTTCAGATTTCCCATGTTTCATCATGTCTTTTCTCCACTGATTCATCTGTCTTCCTTGTTTCTAATACCCTGCCTGCCCGTTTTGGTTATTTATTTTTTTTTATGCAAGCTCTACCTATAGACATACATAAATTGCATCATTACTTGCTACTGTTTTCTGATGCAAGTCATGTCTTTGATTACTAGGAAATAACCTGGCACTAAATAAGTGAGTCTATCGCAGACCAGCTTTCAAAGATGAGTAACTGCAGCATGGGTTTGATATCCAGGAGGAGTACCAGAAAACACAAAACCATTTGCAGGATGGTGATAGGCTGACAAAACATCCAGATTATAAAATACTATGGTTATATCCTACTGTGGATATACTACTGTGGTGGGTTGACCCCTGCCAGCTGCCAGATGTCCACCCAGTTGCTCTCTCTGAACACTTCAGCAGGACAAGGGGTGAGAATAAGATGGACAAGATTGAGGATTGAGATAAAGGCAATTTAATAAGAAAAGCAAAGCTCAGACGTGAAGTAGAAGAGAGAATTGATTCACTACTTCCCATCAGCAGGCGATGTCCAGCTACTTCCTGGGAAGCAGGATTTCAGTATACACAGTGATTACATCAGAAGACAACCTTTGTAACCATGGATTTCACACGCGCGCACGCACACGCACATACACACATACACACACCCGCACTGCCCCTTCTTCTTCTCTGCTTTTATTGCTGAGCACAGCTTCATAGGGTATGGTATGCCCCTTTGGTCAGTTGAAGTCAGCTGTCCCAAGCAGTTAGTGTTAGAAGGCAAACAATGTATGAACTGAGCCCTTCTGTGAGGCACAGTGTATCAGCAGATCGTTTACATCAAACTGTAAAATAACCTTTCCCTTTCGGTGAGAAACATTATTTCACTCCTCCCTTTGGTAGGGTATGAATATTTAACTGATGCATAGATGCAGCACTGCCTTTACAGATCTGTGGGAGTAATATTTGATTATTCATTTTTAAACACATTACAATCTGCTAGTGTTATTCAGCCTCATTTGCTAAGCCATTTGTTAATATTATGTAGATATATGTTTTGAGATGCAAATCACAGTTATGTGCTGGGTGCTGTATAGACAAGTAAGGAAACAAAGTTCTTGCCCCAAAGAGTTTGCTCACATTATCTCTTCCACAAGTGCATTGTGATCTGATTTCACACTGCATGAAGATGTATTTCCTGTCATTATTTTATCTC